ATAGTTTTGATAATTAAATAAAAACTAATATTGTAAAATATATTTTTTTTTTTTTTTTTAAATAAATTACATCTTAAAAGTAAAAAAAAAAAATAATAAATTTTGTAATGGATGAGAAATATTTAATACGTATGCTCCACTATGGTATTATAATAATTCTATAAAAAAATGTTTTCTTTTATTTCGTAATTTTTAAAATGAACAGTACTTTTTTATAAAAAAAAAAACTTTTGATATTTTATTACTTTTTTAAATAAATTTGCCTAGTGGCTTGCTTGCTTTTTTTGGGAATTCATCCTTTTCATCTTTTGTTAAATGTTGTTTTGTAATCTTTAAAAATATTCTCCTAATTTCATTTATTCTAAAATTAATTTAAAAAAAAATGATTAATAGCTTGAATTTATTGATAAAATGAATTTTTTAATTAAAATCAATGATACTTACAATAAATTTCTTTCAATTTGATCCTTTAATATAAACTGTTGTTGTTCTTTAACCTTTGTATTCTCTTTATTATCTAAAATTAAAACTAATGTATTTGGTGCATTTTTAAAGGTTGAGAGTGATTTTAAATTTCCTATAGGGAATGACCATTTAACTTTGCCAATTTCTAAAGATGGGGTCTTGATACTTATGTTATAACATCTTTCTGTTGAAATTAAAATACATCTTACTTGGTTTTTACCCTTTCTATTTGTTTTGTATGCATAAACATGTAGTTGATAAATTGCAGGTGCGGGTATAAAAGAAGCCTCGAAATATTTTTGAAAGGTTTGTCTTGTTAATAATCTTAATGAAATTAACCATTGATCTCTGGTTTCCTCTGACTCTGCTATTAATATCTTTTCTGCCATATAATTATCATTGGATGATCTTTTCGCCATACTAGTTGAAATACGTGATTGAATGGTTGGTGAATCTGGTGGTGATAGTTCTGGGTTATTGCTATCATTTATATTTTGGTGATGATGGTGATTTGGGTCAAATTGTTGTCCACTTTGGTTTGGTGTCTGTTGTTGTTTGACATGATATACTATTCTTAGGGTTTTTGGATCGGGTGATTCATCACCCTCAATCGAATGCATGTCAAATAAATCTATTGTCCATATTTTTTTTAATGTATCTGAATCTACTTTATAAAATTTTTTTGATGTTAATAATCCAATAAATGTAGTTTCTAAAAAAAAAAAAAAAAATTAATATGATTTTTCATTAATGTAAAATTTTTATTTTTTTTATTTTTTTTTTTTTACCTGATGATTTATTTTTTAAAAAAACAGTATGTGTAATATATCTTTCATCCAATGGTACAATTTTTTCAAACTTTGATGGACATGGATATAATGTTGTATCGCCGTATCTATCCTCCAATTCGTGACTGTTGCTTTGTCTACGTGATGATGTTGGTTGTTGCTGTTGTTGGTGGTGGTTAGATATTGATGATGATGAAATTGATGGTGATATTGATACAGAGGATGATAATGATGATGAATGTGTTGCCATTTTAAATTATAATACAATAAATTGATTTTTATTTTTTTTTAAATGAAAAAAAAATAAATAAATAAATAAATAAATAAAAATAATTAATTATAATATTACAAAAAAAAAGATATTGAAAGAAAAATTTTAAAAAAACAAAGCAGTAAAAAAAATTTTTTTAAAAAAAAAAAAAAAAAAGTAAAAATTTTTATTTTTTAAAAAATTTTTTAAAAATATTATTTATTTGTTTTTTTTTCAAATTTGTTTAATATAATTATAGTAATAATTTGGGTGTGTTAAATTTATATATATATTTATTCTTTTAGTGTGTTTAATTGTGTGTTAGTGTGAAAAAATTAACCTTTTTCATTTTCTCAATTTTTTTTTTATTATTTTTTTTCTTAATGATAATCAATATATTCATATAGTATAGCATATTACATATAAATATACTATCATTTTATTAATAACTTACCATTTATTATAATTTTCTTTTTTTCTTTTTTTAATTTAGATTGATTAATTAAATAAAATTTAATATACTTTTATTTTAAAAATAATTTCAAATTCTAAATATATACTATCATATATCACCTTTATTTATTTCTTATACACATATAAATTTTAAAATAATAATATTTTCACCACCCTTTATTTTAAAAAAAAACTTTAATTTCAATTTTAATTACAAATTTTGTTTATTACCCCCCAATAATAAGAATAACAATAACAATATATCAAATAAAAATTTCACATTACACAATCAATATTCAATAAATGAAAAAAAAAATAACAGAAACCAATTCCATGATGTTTTTATCATCTCCACCAATAAACTCTCAAAAAGCCAATAACGACAACACCTATGAAAATGAAGATGTGTGGGATGATCGATATCTAATCGATGTCTATGAAAACGCCATAAATAGTTATATTGTATGCATAACCCTTATTTAATTTTTTATGTAGTATTTCGTATTAATTTAATTTTATTTATTTTTTAAAAAAAAAAACAATAGAGCTCCCACAGTGGTAATAAAACAAATGAAGATAAAAAAAAATCAAAACTTATCGAACAACAACCCTCACCACAACAACAGCAAAAGCAAAATGTAAATAATAAAAACGATACAAATAAAAAAAATATAAAGGAAACAAATACAGGTACAGGTTCAGTAAATATAAAAAAAAAAAAATCAAGTAATTTTAATGAAAGTTTAAATAATAATATTCAAAAAAAAATAGAAATTCAAAGTCTAAATGATGATGATGAGGAATATGAAGAAAACTATGAAGAGTATGAAGGAGATGAGAATGGCGAGGAATACTATTATGATAATGATTATAAACAGCAACAACAACATCAACAATATTATCAAAACAATAATAAATATAATCAAACACCTTATCACCAACAACATAACTATCAAAACCCATATAATACAAATCACCAGCAATACCATCACCCAAACTCTTACTATCAACACTCAAACAATTACCAAAGTTACCCAAACTATTACAACAATAACCATTCCTATTATCAACAACCCCAACAACCTCATCAACCCCACCAACCTCATCAATATCACCATTACCCACAATATCATCAATCGCACTCACAACCACAGCAACCACAACAACCACAACCACAGCAACCACAACCACAACCTAACTACATTCCATTTCAAAAAAATTTTCAACCACCACCAATCCCATCAATTTTACCTGATACCGATGATGAATTAGCAGATCTCCTCTTGAGCTGGTATTATAGTGGATATTATACAGGTGTATTTCAAGAGAGGAAAAGAATTAGAGATAAATTAAATATCAATAGGAATTCCGAACAAACATCATCCCCCCAACCAAATAAACAACAACAACAACAACAAAAAAAAAGCTTTACAAAACAATAAAATGATTTTAAAATTTAAATAAAACTAAATTTTATTTTAATAATATAAAATAAAATTCAATATTCACTATAATTATCAAAACACCCCAGTTTTTTTAATATTTTTTTTTTTTGACCGAAAATATTTGTATGTTGAAAATTATCTTATTTAATTTATAAATATTTCCTAATTATAAATAGTTAATAAACAATGATATTTGCTTTGTTTTGATTGTTTTTTTTTTATTTAAAAAAAAATAAAAAAATTTTTATGCCAAAAAAAAATAAAAAAAATAAAACGTTGAGCAAAACCTCATAAAAATTATTTTTATATGAAGGATTTTCGAAAAAAAAAAATTGAAAAATATTTTTAAAAAAAAAATTAAAAAAATTTCGTTTTTCTCTTTTCCTTTTTGTTAGTAATAAAGAACACCATGGTAGGTTTATATGTGTGATTGTTTATGTGTGTCTATCTATCGCTATAGCAAAATTTTTAAAGATTATCAATCGATATAGATAGATAAATAAAGATTAGTCAAGATTAATAAATATTATAGATTACTAAAGATTATAGCAGTATAAGATAACAGGAAGAGAGATAGCAGTATGGAGAAAAGAGAAAGATAAAAGATAGATGATAGATAGACATTTTTTTATTATTATTTTACATATTGGATATAAACTAATTCATCAAATTTAAAGAATTTATTATCCCCAGAAAATTTCCAACACATTATCCGTATTTACAATACCAACGTAGATGGTCGTCGTAAGGTTATGTACGCCTTAATGTGCGTTAAAGGTGTTGGTAAAAGATTTGCTGATTTAGTCTGCAAAAAAGCTGATGTCGATACCTCAAAAAGAGCTGGTGAACTCAGTAAAGACGAAGTCGAAAGACTTACCACCATTATGAACCACCCAAGACAATACAACATCCCAACCTGGTTCCTCAATAGACAAAAGGATATTAAAGATGGTAAATACTCACAATGTCTTGCCAATCAAATTGATGTCAAATTCAGAGAAGATTTAGAACGTCTCAAGAAAATCAGAGCTCATCGTGGTATTAGACATCACTTCGGTCTCCGTGTTAGAGGTCAAAAGACCAAGACCACTGGTAGACGTGGTAGAACTGTTGGTGTTGCAAAGAAGAGAAACCCATAAAAATTTTAATAATAAATCTAATTTTATTTTAATTAAAAAAAAAAAACAATTAAGCGAACGAAATATAAATACAATTATATATACACTTATTTTTATATTTATTTTTTTTCAAAATTTTAATATTCAGTCCCATCCATGGAATTGGTGTTATTGATATACTTTTTTTTTATTTTTTTTATTTGATCATTATTTTTTTTATTTTTTTATTTTTTTGATAACTATCGTTTTTATTCTTATTTTTTAAATTTTATTATTATTTTATAATTTTTTTTTTTTGTAAATATAAACCAATTTTATTGATTAAATATGAAATAATAATAACAAATTTCATATCTGATTGATATTTGAAGTTTGGATTAAAATTTTTATAAAATATTTTTTAAAATGGGGTTTAGTGTTTATTTTTTTTAAAAATTGGTATTATTTCATTTTTTGAAACATTTAATTTTTAATGTTTTCACAATAAAAATAATATAAATTAACAAATTTGAACCATAAAGGTAATAAAATAATAAAATAATAATATATGGAGATAATATATTTTTTTTTTTTTCATACGTATAAAAAAACAATCGAATTAAATTCTTTTTTTTTATTTTTTTTTTTTTAATTTTTTTTAAAAATTTTTTTATTTTAATTTTTTTTTTTTTTTCTTTTTTTTTCAAATTCAATTTTTTTTTATATATAATTTTTTTTAGTGATCTTTTTTTTTGTTCATAAAACTTTATATAATAAACAATGTTATCATCAATCTTAAAAAAAGTTCAACCTTCTTTAAACAACTCAGTTAGAATTGTAGCTAGATCATATTCAACTGGTAACAAAGAAGTATGTGTTATATAGTTTTAATAAAATAATAAAAAAAAAAATAAAATAAAATAAAAAAAAAATAAAAAAAAAAATATACTTTAAACTTCATTGTCGTGGTATACAATTTTTTTATAGAAGATTTTTTATTTTTTATTTTTTAATAAAATTATTTAGAAAATAATGACAGTGTATATTAAAATAATAATATTTATATAAAATAATTAGGTTACAGTTCGTGATGCTATCAATTCAGCTTTAGACGAAGAATTAGCAAGAGATGAAAAAGTTTTTGTTATGGGTGAAGAAGTTGCTCAATATAATGGTGCCTACAAAATCACCAAAGGTTTATACGATAAATATGGTCCAGATAGAATGATCGATACTCCAATTACCGAAGCTGGTTTTGCTGTAAATAATCTTATTAATAATAGAAATTATATAAAGATTTGTATTTGAGAATATTTATCTAACTTTTTTAAAATTTTTTTAGGGTATTGGTGTTGGTGCTGCTATGGCTGGTACTAGACCAATTGTCGAATTCATGACCTGGAATTTTGCTATGCAAGCTATTGATCACATTATTAACTCATCTGCCAAGACTCACTATATGTCTGGTGGTAAAGTTTACAATCCAATTGTTTGGAGAGGGTATGTTAAACAAATCAAATAGTTTTAAAAGGTTAATCAAAATCAAAATCAATTTAATCGATCGATCAAAAAAAAAAAAAAAAAAAAAAAAAAAATCAAATTAATGGCATTAGAAAATGGGATAGATTTAAATAATGATTGGAATATTATTAGTGATTAATAGTTAATAATAATCAATAACAATAACAACAATAATAACAATAATTTTAATGTTATAGTTTTGATATCAATAATACTGGTTAAAAATAATATTAGGATTAAACCTTAATAGTGGAAATTATCGTTTTTTATGTAACTAATTTAATATTTTTTATTTAATAGTCCAAATGGTCCACCAACCAGTGTCGGTGCTCAACACAGTCAATGTTTTGCTGCTTGGTACGGTCAAATCCCAGGTCTTAAAGTTATTGCTCCATTCAGTGCTAGAGATCACCGTGGTTTACTTAAAGTATTTATTAATCCCTAATACATATAAAATTCATATTGTTCAAGTACTAATAATGTTTTTTTTTATAGGCTGCTATTCGTGATGATAATCCAGTTGTTTGTTTAGAAAGTGAATTACTTTACAACTATAAATTTACTTTAACTCCAGAAGAACAAGATAAAGATTACCTCCTTGACATTGGTAAAGCTCATGTTGAAAGAGAAGGTACCGATGTTACTCTTGTTTCATTCTCAAGAATGGTTGCTAACTGTTTAGAAGCTGCTGAAGCTCTTGCCAAAGAAGGTATTAGCGCTGAAGTTATCAATTTACGTTCAATTCGTCCATTAGATGTCGAAACTATTGTTAAATCACTCCAAAAAACCAACAGAATGGTAACTGTTGAAGAAGGTTGGGCTCAATCAGGTGTTGGTGCTGAAATCGCTGCTTTAATGATGGAACGTAAGTTTTTTTTTTTCCATTTAATAATTTTCTTTATTCATATATTAATCAAAAATATTATAATATAGACGCTTTTGACCACCTCGATGCTCCAGTTGAAAGAATTGCTGGTGCTGATGTTCCAATGCCATATGCTATGAATTTAGAAAATGCTGCGTATGTAAACAATAATAATTTCAAAACAGAATCAACTAAATCACATTCTAATTTTTTTTTTTTATATATAGTATGGTCCAAACCCAAAACATTATTAACGCCGCCAAGAGAGTATGTTACAGAAAGAAATAAACTATCTTTAGAGAATATAAATACAAATTAATTTAATATAAAATAAAAGATTTAAAAAAAACTAATAAAAAAAACAAAGAAATTATAAATTATTAATCTATGATTTATAATATTTTTAATTAATCAAATTTAACTAAAATTTATTTATATTTTTTTTTGTTAAAAAATATTGTTTTAAAGAAAAGAAGGTATTTTATAAAAATACAAATTTATTATTTTATTTTATGTTGAATTTCTTCTTCTGTGGGTTGAGAAAAATGGTTTGGTTTCTGCTAAATAGTTTTTATTTAATTCTAAAAGACTTTGAAAGTTTACATAAAGGAAATCATCAAAATTTGCATTTACATTGATTGAAGATGAACCTAAATTGTCAGAGGAGTTTGGTGATCCACTTCCGCTACTATTTCCACCACTGCTGTTAATTGATGAACCTGAATTCATAAAGTTTTTACAAGATTCGGCTAAATCTTCAGAGATATTTAAGTCATGATATTCTTTTCTTGGTTCAAAGTAACTGGTATCTTGAAGGTTTTCAATATTTGGCTTGAAAAATGGTTCTTGGGTTAAAATAGTTTTCCAATTTATAGATTTAAAGAATGGATGTGATTTAATTTCTTGTGCTCCGTTGTAACCTAGTCTTGATTTTGGATCTAAAGCTAAAAGTTTATCTATAATATCTTTTGCATCTTCACTCATATCTTCTGGCCAAGTTATATTACGTTGAAGAATGTTTTGGAATGTTTCTTGAACACTTGAACCATTGAATGGGGAGATACCACATAAAAACTCGTATAAAATTACACCAAGGGAAAACCAATCAGCTGATGCACCGTGACCAATACCCAAAAGTATTTCAGGAGCTAAATAATCTGGAGTTCCAACACAACTTAGTTTTCTATGTATATTTGGTGGAGGCACTGGTTGTGTAATAGAGTTATTGCTATCATTTGTATTGCTATTAGTCGACGATTGAGAGCTGTTTAATGAGTTTTTCAATTGGTTATTTGTGGTAGGTGTTGTAGAATTTGTGGAGATAGGAGTAAAATTTGGAATGTTATTGTTGATATTATTATTATAATGTTGCTTATTTAGACCACTCATTAAAGGTGAAACATGCTTTTCATAATTTAACAGGTTAAGCGATGGAATGGCTGGGCTTGAAGATGCAGAAAATAGAGATTTGGATTGGGCCAGTGATAAAAGTTTTCTTTCTTTCTTAATTGGGGGGTTATTTATTGGGGCTGGGTTAATTGGTTGGTTATTTACCATATTAATTGACTGATTTTGATTTTGGATTGGATTGACACCTTTTAGTGTAGGAGAAAAGTAAGATGGAGGAACTACATTTTGTTTTTCTAATAAACCAACTTTAGATAAACCGAAGTCAGTAAGTTTAATATGGCCATTCTTATCAATTAGTAAGTTGTCTGGTTTTAAATCACGATGAATAATACCATGTCCATGAAGATATTCTAATGCTAAAACTGTTTCAGCAATAATCATTTTGGCCATATCTTCATCAAGTGCCCCAAGACTTTGTAGTAAAGAAAAACAATCACCACCTTGTAAATATTCCATAACTAAATAGTAGTAATCTTTGGTTTGGAAAGAATAGTACATCTTTACAACGAATGGATTGCTTGTATAAGCCAGAATATTTCTTTCAACTTTAACATGGTCCAGTTGGTTCTTTTTAATCATATCTGACTTCTTTAATCTCTTTATAGCATATATATCTCCAGTTCTAATTTTCTTTGCTAAAAAGACTTTGCCATATCCACCCTTGGTAATTGGTTTGATAAATTCAAAATCTGATATGGTTGGTATACCTTTGGGTCTATAATCAATATTCTAAAAAAATAAAGAAATAAATATTAGTATTGGTTTTAAAAAAAGAATTTTGTATAGTTAAGAAACATACAGTTTGATGGACAGGGTCTGAATCTGATCTTGATCTACCTATGCCCCTGAGAGGGGTGTTAAGGAGTGTGAGTGGACTATTATTGTTTAATAAATTACCTCCTAATTTACTGGTACCAATTTTATCTTTGATGTCCAATAGTTTTGATGAGGGTCTTGGGCTATTATTTTTGTTAAAATTACTGATGATATGACTACTGTTGCTTGTTTGGTCATCATCATTAGGGTCATTCAAAAAACTTCCATTGTTGCTACTACCACTGCTACTACTATTGTCATCTCTTGGTGATTTAAGAATTCTGGGTGAATTGGTTCTAAATATTCTAGGTGAGCTATTAATAACTTCTTCTGCACGCTTTAAAGCATTAACCTTTTCAGAAATTAAGGTTTGAATTTTAATTGCTAATTCTTTATTTTCATCTTTTGAATCCAAATTTTTAATAATATCGTTCATTAATTGAATCATTTTTACATTCTCTTTAATACCATTTTCTACAGCAAATAGTGCAATTTCTCTTAATTCTGTGAGGGTTTTCTAAAAATATATATGTATTAATAAATTTCCGAAATTTTAGGGTATATTAAAAATAATAAATATTTACTCTTTTTTCTGGTTCCAAATCGGATGATCTTGTTAACAAAATTTTCGCTACAGCTCTTAAATGATCTTCAACATTCATAGCCTTCATATCTTCTTCATTAGCCATGGCACATATTTTAGAATGATCTTCTAATAGAGATGAATGAATAGGTTCTTCGCAAATTCGACACATTGCCATTTGTAATTGATCATTGTCTTTTTGATGTTCATCAATAAGTTTAACTGATGGTATTTCTGAAAAAGATCTTGCTAATTTTCTATAAGGTTCTTTTGCTTTTGGTTTTTCTTCTTCTTTATTTGGACTAAAGCTTTTTGATCTTACTAAAGGCTTTTTATGATAATAATTAAAATTATTATTAGTAAAATTATTACTATTATTATAATTTTTATTGCTATTATTATTATTATTATTATTGTTATTATTATTATTACTGCTATTATTGTTGTTATTGATGGTGCTTATAAAGTTATTACTATTATTTAATTTTTGTTTTTTTGACGGTGGGTTTGATGATGGAATTATTAGTAGTAATAATAGATATAAAAATGTTAAACTATTTATATTATTTATATTACTACTATACATTTGTTTTTTATATTATATTGTTATATCTAATGATTAATAAAAATAAAAACTTACTCTTTTTAAAATATATTCATCACTAGTAGTTTTCTAAATTATTAAATAAAAATAAAATTAATTAATATTTTTTCGAAGAAAAATAATAGTTTATAAAATATTTAAATTAAAAAATTAAATATCTCGAATGATTGTGATTGTTAGGTTAATTTTAAAAATCTTTGGACAAAAAAAAAAAAAAGTTTTTTTTTTTTAATTTAAGAAATTTTATGAATTGAAAAATAGATATTTTTTTGTAAACTTACCAAATCATTTAGTCTTGGGTCTAATAAAAATACAGGTGGCTCTAATGATTTGTTGTCTGCACTTAGATGTTGAGTCAGTGGAGGATGTGGTTTTAAAACTTGATGTATTAAATTTGTATTGTTATTGATTTTAAAATTTCCACCACCTTTGATATTATGTCTTGTATAGTAAATTTCTTGTCCTTTTTCATCCTCTCCTTCACTAGTTTCGCTTTCGGTATAATCGGATTCGCTTTCTTCATCTGAAGTTGATAAAATATTATCTTCATCAATTATTTCAGTTTGGCTTTCATTCTTTAAATCTGGACTTGTAATAATATTTAAAGTATTACTAAGTTGAAAATCTTTTTTATCTTTTTTATCTTGTTTTGGTATTTGGGCTGTTTGGGTGGGTATTTGTGTTGATATTATTGGTTTACTTTGAAACGTTTCCGAAGTTTTTCTTGAAAGTAATGGTGGCTTAACAGTTGATGGTGGCTCATATGATTGAATAGTTGGCAAATTGCTTTTTGGGGTTAAAATTTTATCTTCAAAACCAACTTTTTGATCTGGGTGTTGAGGATTTGAAATTATTTGTTTATCTTTCTGTGGTTGCAATTCAAATTTAACATTATTTGGTGAAAAAATTTGATCTCTTTTTGAATTTATTTGTTGGTTTAATAGCAACTGTTTTTGTTTTTGTTGTTGTTCAATTAGTTTGGGAGAAAAAGATAAGCATCTATAGTGAGATTTTTGAAAGGTGATTGGTTTTTTTTCTAATATTGATTCGGCTGGTGTTTTTATTAAGGGAATATTGTTTACAATTTTATATTCACCACTTTGATTTTCATTTGGCT